TTTTTTTTTTTTTTTTTTGAATCAAGCACCTTAAATGCAACATCAATGCCACCGCATTCCATATCCAATCATTCAAGAAATAACACCGTTATCCTCATCCATCCCAAACAATAATCAACTCTCTAAATAAATAAGATAATCCGGTTGACAAGAAAAAGGCTGAAGGCTCAAACGGGCTACTAGTGAAAATTATTTTTAAGGACAAAGAACAAGGCCAAACGAGCTATATCAAAAACCGCCTAAATCATTTTTAAAGCTCACAATCACCAATGCATTTTTTTTTCAAGTAAGAATCAAGGCAAATTCTAATAACTCGGGTATCCAATTGACACACACAGACAAAGAATAAAGGCTCAAGTCTCACTAGGCTCAATATATCACTGATTCAAGGTTCACACGCATTTTCATCTAGGCACAACAAATTATAACCCCATCACAATTTCTCAATCACATCAAATCACCATTCACCATTCAAGTTTTATCCACCATTCATCCAAAGCAAAAGAAATACACAAAGAACCGACTCAAGCAAATTATTACTATATCCTAATAAAGTAAGTAAACGTGCAACCCAAAAATAAAAATAGCCTAAAAAATCATAAAAGTAAGAACTAATGCAAGAAACTATATGATATGCAATAAAGCGATAAAAACTCAAGATATACGACATCTATCTCCCCCAAACTTATTCTTTGGAAAAGAATTGAGTTTAAGAAAAATAAACGGTATATCCCAAATAACTAACCGATAAGTCGAGCGAGCTCCACCGTTTGCAATCCTTGCACCCTTTAGCACGATCATCTCCTCCATGCTTCGTTCGAACACTCGATCACCACCATTTTTTTTCTTTATTTTATTTATTTATTTTTTTTAATAAAAATAAAAATAAAAATAAAAGCGATAAAAGATGGGTTGCCTCCCACCAAGCGCTTAATTTAACGTCTTTAGCTAGACGTCTCTCGAGTTCTTAATATGGGTCGTTTCCATTCATTCCGACCAACTCCTTCACCATAGTCCGACCCCAGTGTTCCTCATCTTTCTTTTTCTTTTTCTTCGGCCCTCGATCAATGACAAATGTATAACGCTCATCAAACGCCCGGAAAGTGAGCTCTTCACGCTCGATGTCTATCAATACTCGTCCGGTTGCTAGAAACGGTCGCCCCAAAATTAGCAGAACATCATCGTCGTCATCCATGTCTAGCACAACAAAATCCGCCGGATAAATGAAATCACCGACTTTAACCATGATATCCTCTAAAATCCCTCGCGGGTAGGACAATGATCTATCCGCCATTTGCAGTGCAATAGTCGTGGGCCTAAATTCCCCCGTCTCCAATTTCAACTTCTCGAACATCGACAACGGCATCACATTCACACTAGCCCCCAAGTCGCACAAGGCCTTCTCAACATGAAAATCTCCAAAGGAACACTCAATTGTAAAGCTCCCGGGATCCTTGCATTTGAGGGGCAACTTCTTTTAAATTTTCGCGCTACTCTCTTCAGTCATGGCCACAACCTCGTACGCCTTAAAAGGTCTCTTGACTTTTTCAACCATAGCGGGCTCAACTTCTTTCACTTTACCCGTTGGCAGCTCCTTAACTTCATCCCTTTCCTCTTGAATATGGAAAACATTGCATTGCTCCTTTAGATTCACCTCGGTATTGCTCAGAAATTGTCCTCTCTGCTGTAGACTTCCAATTGCCATGGCCAACTGCCCAATTTGTTGTTCAATTGACTTCATTTGCTTCTCTAAGGTAGAGTGCTTAGCCTGAGATTCGCCCATGAATTGTTGCGTTTGAGTCATGAACGAGGCGAACATATCTTCGATTGTCGGCTTCTTCGGCTCATTGATGACCCCGTTAGTCACCAAAAATCCGGGAGGTGGTTGTAGAGCATTATTCGGATTTGCATAAGAAAAACTGGGGTGATTTCGGTTGCCTTGATAATAAGTGTTTCCCGCTTGAGGTCCTCGAAAATTTCCAAAATTCCGGTCATTCAAATAACTCACATCCTCGACCGGTTTTCCAACTCTTACGCTCTCATTCTTCCCCACTTGCAACTTATTAAGCACCATTGCGGTCGCTTGAGCTACCATTGTCGCCACTGAGTCCATCTCATTTGTAGCTGCCACCCTCTTAAGCATAGTTCTCTCGACCGGCCACTGATAGCTATTTGATGCCATCTCCTCAAGAATTCGCTTCGCGTCGTTCGGTCGCCTTCCCAAAAGGGCACCTCCAGCTGAGGCGTCCACCATAACCTTCATCGAGCCACTCAATCCATTGTAGAAATAGCAAATTTGGTGCTCCTCCGAAAATCCATGCTGAGGGCACGTCCGAAGGAGTTGCGTGTAGCGCTCCCAAGCCTCATATAAAGGCTCACCATATTGTTGCTTGAATTGAGTGATCTCCGTTTGAAGTCTAAACATCTTGCTCGGTGGGAAGAACTTCAAGAGAAATTTCTGACGCATCTCATCCCATGTTGTTACTGTCCCGGCCTCAAGAGAATTGTACCACACCTTGGCCTTATCTCTAAGAGAGAAAGAGAAAAGTCTAAGCCGGATAGCATCCTCCGGGACTCCATTGTACTTCACCGTACCACATATCTCCAGAAATTGCGCCAGATGCGCATTCGGGTCCTCGATTGCAGCTCCCCCAAACTGCTCTTGCTGCACCATTCGAATCAATGACGGGCTCAACTCAAAAGTATTAGCCGCAATTCTCGGCCCGTGACCTCCTCCATATACTTGATCAGCATGAGGTTGGAAGATGTTTCGAACCGGTGTTCCTGGCTCTTGTTGAGCCTGCTGCGCAGCTAATTGGCGTTGTAGCTCCGCCATTTGTGCCTCAAGCTGTCTATACCTCTCTTCACCTTGTTCCTCCATTGCACCTCTCAGTCGTTGTTGTAGTCTCCGATTTGCATTTTTCCTTCGACAACTAGCTTCAATCTCGGGGTCAAATTTCGCGGGTGAATTCCCACTAGACCTCGTAATCATGCACATGCCTGTCAAAACACACAAACCAAAAACGATGCAATTAAGAACCAAAGTATTAAATAAAAATAAAAATGACTAAAGTAATATCTACTCGTCTTCTTCTAATATTAATTAATTTTAACAAAACAGTCCCCGGCAACGGCGCCAAAAACTTGTTCGCTAATTATTTTTCGCTGTCCGCAAGTGTACGGCGTAGCTATAGGAAGCGGCGAGCAAGGTCGTATTCCACATAGACAGTTGTTAAACTAATTAAGTACCAAAATATAGACGATTAAATATTATCTAGACTAATGCAAATTCGAGTGGAGTTTTTATTCTAAACTAATGAATGAATGCAAAAATAAATTCTAACACTAATGAAGGGTTGTTCTAAATAAATCAAGTATGAGAAAATAGATTCTAGGCTATGCTTTCCTCGGGATTATTCTAGCAAAGTTTTCTTATTCATTCAAACCTTATTTAATTCTACCAATCGTAGGGATAATCGCTAAAGTAATTTACACCTTTCTCTCGAACAAGTTAAATCGTAGATATTAATTGCTATCTATCTCCTCTCGGTCTCAAGATGAACAACTAACTCCCATAAGCTCCTAAGATTATAATTCCCTCGCAAGATTCTATCAACCTCTCGGTCTGTTTAGTCTTTTACGTTATGAATTTCCCAATTCTAGAAATTAACTATCTCCTCTCGGTCTCAAGTCAATCACAAATATGCATAAATACGGGCCCTATATTCACACAATTCATATAATCACAAGAAACTGATAAACGAAAGATAGAACGGAATGAATAAACAAAATCACTTCATAAAATAATCCGAGTACTCGCAAAACCTAGAATCTCAAAGAGATTTAGCTACTAAACATATTCTCAATACTCAAAATAAATAAATCCATGAGTTCAATGAAGAAGAAAAAGAGAAAAGAAAGAAGAACTATTGTCGCCGTTAGTTCCCGGATCTTCAATCTTGACTTCCTCGAATCCCTCGTGTGTTTCGTGCTTTCTCCAGGCCTCCAATGGTGTCAAAAGTCCCAAAATCGTGTTCTCTATGTTTCTTATATACTGTAGGGTAAATATGGCTTGAAAAAGGGACAAAATCGCGTAGGTTTCCTAATTCCCGCTGGACTGTCTGCGCGTCACACGAGTCGTGTCACATGCCACACGAGTCGTGTGACTTTTCTCGAACTTTCGGCCAACTCCCAGACTCACACGACTGGTCACACGACCGGGTCACACGACCCGTGTGAGGTCAAACGACTCGTGTCACTTGCCACACGGGTCGTGTGACAAAGCCGAAGCAAAATTCCACATGATCTCGATTTTTTTCACCTCACACGACTCGTGTCACATACAACACGAGTCGTGTGACCCTGCCTGCACCTTGTTTTTGCCGTTTTTCGTCCTGATTCCATCTTTAACGCTTTTTCGGGCATGTTTCCTACAAAACCAACGACAAATATACCTCTATCATAGATTAATAAATCAAACGAAATGGTGCACAATCCCACAATAAACACGATCAAACATCACACTATATCACTTATAATGCATGAAAATATGATGAACATCACATGCATGCATGCCAGTCAGCCACAACACACCCATCGTCTGCCTCCATTTGCCTTGCCTATACCGTCAGCCTCCACCCAAGTCTCCGTTGGACACGCAAGAACTAAAGGGTTTCCAGAAACAACTGTCAGTCTCTGGCCAAAGCTTCGCGCTAGCAAGAGCGGTTGCTGCTTCGTGGCACGACCTCTTTGCGGAATGCAACATCATTCTCATCGTCGCGTCTCTCGCCGGACGTCATTATCTCGGTCGAGAAACAATATACGGCGAACTCACGTCTCTCTGTCGTGTCTTCGAGAATGTCGTCGTCGTTGAGAGCGGTAGAAAACTGGGTAGATGCCATCTGAAATAAAAAGAAAAAAAAATCGCCGGACATGTGGGAGCAAGCCCGACGAGGCTAGTGTTGGATCGAGGATGCTAGTCCCTGGAGAAGACTGTGAGATGAACGAACAAGGTCGCCAGCGATGTGCGGATAAGATGGCTAGGAGAGACGTCGGTTGGTGTTACATTTATATAGGAGGGGACTACTTTCAAAATTTGATTAGCCTTAGGGACTTAATTACAATTTTAAAAATTTTAATATATTACAATTAGTTCAATTTAATTTATGGGTTATACATGAAATTTATTAAAAATCTACATATTTTAAAGTTAAATATTTGCACATTACAGTTTACTACATCGCACATTATTATATAGTGCATTGCACATTATTGTTCAATGTAGTGCACATAGGTAAATTTCACAATAGCATGTGTCTATATACCCATTAGAAACTAAAAAAATTACAAAAATACCAAGGCGTTGCAGAATGAACAATATTGGTGATCGGCTGGTTCAGTTAAATAGCTCCGAACGAAATGTTAATGCTGAAATGATCGAGTAGAGCTTTTGGAAAAATTGGATCGACCAAACAGTTGTTCCAAATCATATTAAAATCGAATCGAACTTATTTGTTTATTCATTCGATTAACTGAATAAAAAATAATTGAAGTAGATTATAATTTATATTATAAAAACATATTTTGAATTTTGATCTTTTTTTTAATAATTTATATTTCTGTTTTGCTTAAAAGAAATAATATTTTATAAAAATATGCAAAAATAATATTGTTTTATATAGTTTAATCGGTTCATTCAGTTATTTTAAAAATAAAGTCGAAACCAAACCAAAACAACCAACATTTTAAAAGTAACAACATATATCCGAACTCGAACAAATGGTCCAATCTTCCACTTATTATTGTGAAATTCGTCTAACATTGTTGTTTACTCATACTGCATGCATTTTTAATGATTCGGACCAAACTAAACTAAAACTGAACCAACATAATCGATTTATTAGAATTTATTATTTATTTTAACATTTTGCATTATTTGTAAATGAAAATATAAAATACATATTTATAAAAAAAATAATATTAATATAGTTTACCGAATTACGTTAAATCATCAAAATTTATTATTTATATTATAAAAATATGTTAGTATTTTAATATTTATATTTAATATTTTATATATTTTTTTTGAAATTACATAATATATAAAATATCGAAATCTATAATGTGCATTCCAACAGGAAATAATGTGCAATATTCGTCTAATGTTATGGTGCAGTCTATTGGTTGGGTATTTTTTATGTGCAGTTCAATTTTATAAACTTTAATAATGTGCAATTCAATTAACGTTATTTTGCATTTATGAAATGTTTATATAATAAAAATATATTTAGTATTGATAATTTTTTAGTATTATGAAATCTACTTAACATTAACGTGCAATTCAGTTAACAATAATGTGAATCTTAATTATCATTGAGGTGCAATTATTAAATTCTAATGAATTACATATTTGACCCATGAACTAAATTGTAACATAATTATAATTTCGAAATTTGCAAATAAGTTCTTATCACTTATCAGATTTTCAGAATATGTCCCAGTAGTAAAAAAAACCCAATTCATCATACGGTTGTCGCCCTTGTTGTTTTACCATCGACGGTCTTTACTTGCTTGTTCCTCCAGCCGGCGCCGGTGGAGGACGATCACTCAAACCGCGATTAAAAAAACGGGAGTCCTCTGCTTATTGACGAAAAGTGTTGCCAATGCGTCGGGCACCTCGCGTCGAGCTACAATCGTCATCGTCGACCCTCGCGTTAAGCCTCATTGACATTGACCAGGGCGTCGGACGCCTTTCCCCTTACCGACGTCATCGTCTCACTGCAACCTGAAAAATAGAATTTCGGTCACGCGGGCAGGTCGGCGAAGATGCTCCGGTGATGGTGACGAAGCAGTGGTTGTGGGTGGCGTTGGGTGGGCCGTCGACGGGCATGTCGACTTAGACGGTCGGTCGTGCGTGTATGTGTGTTGTGCAGTCTTTGCCAGATGCGTGTGCATGTGTTTTGTGTGTGTGTGTGTGTGTGTGTTGTGTGGTGGTGACGTGGCGTGTGTTGTGTGTGTGGTGATGTGGTTGGATGTGTAATGATAGTGTTCAAATTGGATCATCCGATCTTAGACCGTCTTAAATGTTCTAATGTTGTTATTGAATAAATTTTGCCAAATGTCAATAAATTAAATGTATTGTGAACTATGTAGGAAAGTGTTAAGTTTACAACTATGAATTACAAAATCATCTTGAATGCACAATGTAGTCTAACTACAATTTTATCTACTTACTAAATATTAAAATTTATAATATGCAGTAAGAAAATTAATTAAATAATTAAATAGTTTGGAATTGATAAGAATAATTCTATCAATCTGTTTATTGGCTGGCTAGAGTGTGTAGGTGAATGTGGATTAACCATATTCTTCTCTAAATTTTAGACATTAAGAGCATCTCCAGTGGTAAAATGTAGTTGTAAAAAAATATATTTTATATTAACAAATTTTACAATGTCTCCAATTTTAATCCTACAATGAACAATGTAATAACAAATGCAGTGATCACGTGGATATAATTAGAGCATCTCCAATGCATAAATGTTGTTGTCACATAAATTTTGACAAATGACGATTATTTAGATGGATTATAAACCACATAAGAGATTTGTTAAGTTCACAACATTAAATATAAAAGATTATATACAATGCATTATATGATCAAACATAATATTGTCTACTTGACAAAAATAAAATAAAAAATTATAAATAAGAAACAAAAAAAAAAAAATAATTGAATATTTCGAAAATAGTAATAATATTTCTCTCTCATCTCTCAGTTTTTTTTTTTTTTAATTATTTATAAGCTTTTTTATTTTTTGCCAAGTGGACAATATTATGTTTGATCACATTGTGCATTATAGATAATTTTTTAGATTTGAAGTTGTGAACTTAACAAATGTCTTATGTGGTTTACAATCCGTCTAAACAATTGACTTTTGTAAAAAATTACGTGATTAACTATATTTATGCATCGGAGATACTCTAATTATGTCCACATCATCACAACATTTATGATCACATTATGCATTGAAGGATAAAAAGTTGTGACATTGCTAAATATGTTGATGTGGAACGTAATTTACCACAACAACATTTAAGCATCGGAGATACTCTTACAATTAAGATTAACTCTTTGTTCTTACATTGAGCATCTTTCTCATTAGCGTACGACCCCCAATCTATCTTTCTATATATATATGTCAATGAAACACTTGGCGCGAGATGCATGCTCTTCGACAATACGAACTTAACTTGTTTTTAGCTTTGGACATGAGTTAATCAAAACTAACAAAAGTTTGTTACGAATATTGAGGCCACAAGCTATTCTAACCTTAATCAAAGTCAGCCAATTCATTTTTCACCCTTCATTTTCCCTGTAAAGTTTCACTCTTTTTTTTTTTCCCATAATTAGAGACTTCCCTTGTATATGAACTAATCTTTTTTAAAACATATTATTTTATGTTTTTTAGTTCTCAAATGAAATACATGCTAGAAAGCAAGATAATCAGGTGAGAAACAATGTCAAAATCAAATAATCATAAAAAATATACAATCTCTCTATTGTTTCTCTTCATTTTCATCACCTCATTTACTGAGAAATCTCTAGCGTACGCCTCATCCATCACGGGCCGGATCTCAAGAAGGCCCGACCCCCTGCGCAATTTCAGACATTACGGTGGAGATTATGATATTAGCAGCAAACATTATTTGGCCGTAAGTTGATATATATATATTATATTATGTCTTTGTTCAACTTGTATATATATCCATATTTTCATTCACTCTGATTTTATTTATTTATATTTTTCTGGTGTTACATGTTACATGTATTTCACAAGCATTGTGAATATATTGTCATATTTATCTTTCACATTTTTTTTTTGAAATTTCCAGTCAACGGCATTTACCGGAATTCATGGTTACGCAGTGGCAGGGATTTGGTTGTTGTGCGGTCTCAGCCTTGTGATTTTTAATGTTGTAATAAAGAGTATCAAACGAAGCCCATCAACAATTGTGGATCGTTCGAGTACCTCGAATCGGATATTGCTCTTGTTGCTTCTTATAGTTACTAGTTTTGCCATGTAAGATTCCATTTGAAATTGGTCGTGTTTACGCTTCATGAGTGTGATTTGTTTGAAAACTAATTTCCTTAGTTTATGGTGATGTTAAATTGGTATCAGAGTTGCTAGTGGTTTAACGATAGCCGAAAACCAGAAGTCGCTAAAGAAGGCTCGAAAGCTCGAAGAAACCGTACGTGATGCCGGAAATGAAGCATCAAACAACATAGGCAGAGTTAAAGCCGCCATGCTACGAATGCAGACTTTGTTGCAACCGTACAACTCGGATATTTGCAACCAGCTCAACTTGACCACACACCGCCTAAGAAAAACGTCACTAAGCATACAAAGTTTTATCCGAAACAACTTGAAAACATGGGACCAAGCCATTCAAACATTGTAAGTTCTGTTGACTTATACATGATGATGTGTAATCCCAACTCATGAATCAACAGTAACGAGTCAATTTTCCTAGTTTATTTCTAGATATGTGATGAATCTTGTGGTCGTGTCGATCGACTTGGTATTGTTGGTTGCTGGATTAGGTGAGTTCCATTTTCAAATGCTTGATCGATTAATAAATCTCGATTAATGATATACAACATCTTTTTTTTCGCTTTTTTGCATTGTGATTTTTTAGTTTCATGTGAGAAACATGTGGCAAAAAACATGTTCTGAGACTAATGGATTGCTGCTTTGGCCCAGTTCTGCTCCATTTCCAATTTCGTCCTGGTATTATTGTGTAAGTCGCGCAAAATTATCTATTTCCTTTTCTTTTATTTACTTTTAAAATTATTCTGCTGCTAATTATGTTTCTCTCAGCTTAATCTTTACCTGCTGGATTCTGACAACTCTAGGTTGGATTCTAACCGGCGTCGATTTCTTGTTTCACACGTACGTGTACGTTAGTTTGCTTTACGAATTCTCTCAGTACTCGTGTATTAACCCGGTTAATTTGCATCAATAATACAGTTTTATTGGGGATACTTGTTTGGTGTTGAAGAATTACGAAATCGACCCCCAAACGAACAGTCTAGGCAGCATGCTTCCCTGCCCGAAATCCACGGACTCTGTCCAAACTTTAGAGAAGATTAATTACAGCATTCATGCTTTCATAAATGAGGTACAACACACTGCACTTTATTGAAATGTGAAAAATGCTAGCTAAGTTACATTATGCTCTAATAAGTAATTTTTAACTTTATATTTAATTTTCTCTTCATTTTTGTTTTTTATCATCGTCAGCTAAACTGGAAGATTCGAGAAGTTATCGAATCAAATGAAAAATATGAAGGCATTCCGGTCGTGGAAGTTTGTGACCCGTTCTCTACTTCAACGAATGATAGTTTTTCACTTCAAAATTGTGCAGAAAATTCTATCCCAATTGGAGATTTACCAAGAGTAAGCGATTTTATATATGCAAATAGACTTCAAATTTTTAGTAGCTCATAATAACATTTTTGTGCAGGTTCTATCAACATTCGTATGCTATGAAGCGGATAGTACCTCCAGAAATTGTGAAGAAGAAGGGAGATTTCTCCCCGAATCCATGTACACGGTATCTTTGGCATATACCCAGTCAATGCAGGATTTTATAAATATATATCCCGATTTATCGAGCTTAATGAAATGCTCGTCCATTAAAGAAGCATTTTCCGAGATTGTCACGCGCCAATGTAGGCCAATCGAGCTATCAACACGAGGGTTGTGGGCATCCATGCTGGCCCTTTCAGTTGTTATGGTGGTTTTGGTATTGCTTTGGATTTACAGAGCATCTCACATGGGCTATGCTTGTGTTGGTAGGTGATCAGTTTTCTTAGTTTTAAGTATGTCTGAATATATACATATATTTTGTTAGGGATTTTATTTTTTATTTTTTCATTTTCTCTGTGTGGTTTAGTTTAAGCCAAGAAAATTATATTATATGAGCCATAAATTCATAAGACTAGCTTTTAGTAATTTGTAGGATTCAGAAAATAAAATATGATATTCAAATTTTAATATAATGTTTTGTTATCTCAATGGTCAATGATACATAATGATTTTATGGATTGTTCATTTATATATCAAATTAAAAATATATAAAGTGTTCGTAGACATATGCTGATTACCACGTCTAGAAACGCATGCATTATGTCTTGACAAAGTAGTATGTATCGTTACTAACAAGGGTTGACTCAAGTGGTAAGCAACTTGATGTCGCTTACGCAAGGTCTCGGGTTCGAGTCCTTGTGAATGTAGAAAACCTTGTTGGGAGACTCACCCACCATTGCCAGGTGTGCGACCCAGGTCGACCAATGGATTAGATGGAGCAAAGTTTCGGATACCGTGGTTGGCTACAAAAAAAAAAAAAAAGTAGTATGTATCGTTATTGTTAATCTTAAATAAAAATCATAATTAAGACTTGATTGACCGAAAGTATACTATTATTATAATAATCTTTGTCATTTTTTAAAAATAATGTGCATGCTTTTGTTGGACAATAAGATACATATTTTTTTTCAAAACGATAGTATTCATAAATAAACACATATTTACAATTGGCTAACTAGCCTAATACATAACATAACAAAAAAAAAAAAAAAAAAAAAAAAAAAAAAAAAAAAAAAAAAGAAAAAAAGTAAAACAAATAGAAAAGCAAAAACAACCTAATACGTAACATAAACTAAAGTTCCTCTCCACCGGACGAGAAAACCCAACACCGACACAATTTGAGCCAACATCTTATGCGATCTATCGAGAAAATCCAAGGGATCCACTACCCAACACAAAGAATCAAGAAACGAGATCCGGACAACAAAATCGCCACTCCTCCTCACCCCCCACGCATACGCTGGAGTCGCCGCACCACCGCTCAAACACCGCCAGTGGAACCCACCTACCAAACAGTAGGGAATGCCAAAAAGGGAGGAAACCAAGGGCTAGACCGCCGCCCTAGCAAGGACATCCGTGGCGTCCGCCGAACACAACCACCATCTTCGACCGCCCCATCTCACCTGACATGACGAAACTTTGAAGATCATAACCACCCATGGGCTACCACTTATATATGATTGAATTATATGCACACAAGTAACATTTGCATATTCAAGTAAGAAGTTAAAAAATATTTTTAACGATCGAATGAAAAAATGAGAAAAAAATACATAAAAAAGTATTTAATTCAAATATTAATTATTATAAACTAATTTAATCATTAGAACTTCACATAAAAAAAACTATATTTAGTTACAAGGGAAAAAATTAACTCATTTTAACGACCAATTATACTAAAAAGTTTTCTTTTTCCTTTAAAATTTTCAAATAATTTGTGCCCAAAATTTTTGGGCCTTGGGTGGTCGCCCCGCTGGCCTTGCCCCAGGGATGGCTTTGTCTGTGCCCCACGGCTCTGTCCGATATCTGCGCCGCGGCGAGCTTCTGACAGTCCACTTTTCTTCTCCGGCATGGCGCCCCGCCTTTTTCGGTTAGCCATGATATATTGTGGATGGTTCATGATCGGCGACGAGTCTCGTCTTGGTGGGCTCCGGTACTATCTTGCGGTGGTCGGGCTGTAGCCGGCTCCTTGCGACTTCCCTGTCCCATCCTCTCCCTAGCGTTGAGAAGGGGGAGAGAGGGTCTTCTTGCGGACGACTTCTTTTTTATTTGCGTTGAGGGAGCGGTCGACGGTTTGTGTTGGGGCAGGGGTTTGGAGCTGGTCGCCAGGTGTGTTACGGTGGAGGCTATTATGGGAGGGTTGTGGGTCGATCAGTCCGTGCTTGGGCCATTGATTTGCTTTGTTTTTGAGTGGTCCATCTGGGGCTGTGGCTCGAGTTGTGTTGGTGTGGAGTGGCTTTCCTATCGACGGGGAGGGCATCTTTTTTAGCTTTTAGTTTTCTTGTAGGAGTCTTCCCTAGCAGGGCTGGCCGAGGTTTCCCGGCGGGGGCATCCTCGGGCCTAGCAACCTGATTCTCGAAGAATCGCCGCTTAGAGGTGGGATTTACGCTGGCGGAGTCGGTGCCCAATTATCTTATTAGGGCTCGCTGGTTCTCAGGCTGCTAGGATGGTGAGGAGGGCGACGGACTAGCCAGTGTTTTTGCAGCAATGGGCAAGCCTCTGCGTTCTTTCGGGGTGGGTCGTGGCCTTGTTCATCCTTTGGGAGTTAAGGGTTGAGGGTTATGCCAATTGCCACCTTGTTCCTCCCGTCTCTAGTGTTGGGCGGAGTGGCTTGCCAGCGAGCTTGGGCCCAGAGCTAGTTTTCTAGGTCTGTGCTGTTTTTTGTCGATTCATTCTGGGTGGTTCGTGGTGTGGGTCTCCGGTTGCCGGTCTCAGGTGGCTGTCTAGGAGAGGGTTGGGTTCGCTGGCGGTCGAACCAGTTAGGCATTTTATTCGACAGTTTCTAGTTTGGGCTCCTGGGCCGTTGCTCTGTCCATTTGATTGGTTGTCTATTGGCGTCGGCGTGAGTTGGCTTGGTGTGGTTGATTGCTGCGGGAAGAGGTGGTTTTTTTTTTTTTAGTTGTGTTTTGGTGTTTTTGCTTGTTGTGTGTTTTTGTTTCTTTATTTACTTGGCCGTTGTTGTCCTGTGTTTTGTGTTTAATCTCTCGTTTGAGAGTTATGGTATTTTCCTGCTGAGAGCTGTGTTATTCTCCTGTTGGGAGCTTTTTGTTGGTAGTTTTTGGTTTTAGTGTGTTGTGTTGGTTGGTTCTAGATTGCCTCGGGCTAGATGTCTATGGGGTTTGTCCTCCCAACTAGATTCGACTGAATAACTGACTTATTATGTTGTTTAGATGCATTTTAGTATGTAAAATATGTGTTTTTCTTTTATTAAAAGTCCGTCGTTTCGAAAAAGAAAAAAAAATATTATGATTGTTTATCACATAACTCACTGAGATATATTATGAACATCTTTTAGTCTTTTTCGAACCCATGCCATTAAGTGTGTGATTGGACACAAATATACGATTTTCTTGGTTGACATGGTTAATTTTGAAAAAAAGTAGGATGATTAATTATTAGTGAGGTTTTTTTTACATTAAAATAATATTTAAAGTAAAATAATTGAAAAAAATAGTATGATTAATTATCAGTGAGATTTTGAGTTTATATTAAAATATTTAATAGTGTCCGCAAGTATAATCAATTATATATTTATTGCGAAGCTTAAAAAAAAAGAAAAAAAAAAAGAAACTATATGCTATGTGAAATCAAATAATCGCGTTAGCACGATTTTTGCTATGAAGCCAACAGTTGACTTTATAGTGAAACCAATTTTTTATATACAACAACAAGTAAACATATCGTATTAATAAAATCATATTAGTGTTATTTAAGTAATCAACGAATATGGTAAATTTATTTATTATATATAAAATGTTGGCTCTACTATGGAATCAACTGTTGGCTTGTGCATACAAGTGTTCTCTAAAGAAGTCAACAAACCATACATCCAACGGTGCTATATATAATCATCATTCTTTAGGCCATTAACTTTAGTAGTTGGCTTCTTTTGTTTTCTTAATTACACAGTTAAATACATATAATCCTGCTCTTCTGATCTGTATTGCATATAGATTTCTGGAGCTGGTAAGAGAGAGAGAGAGAGAGAGAGAGAGAGAGAGAGAGAGAGAGATTGTTGACTCATAATAAATTCTCTCCAATTTTCTCTCTTGCTGTGCACGCTTTAGCATTACTCAATCACACCATAAACCTCGTGAGTTTTTCGCATGGTGACGAGATCAATAAGTAAAGCTCAAAGCCGCAAGCGCATGTCAAGGAGTTATTTTCAATTTGCAGCGAGGCTCGTTTCTGGTAATGGCTTCTTTGAATTCAAGTAGACTTCAAATTTGGTGTGTGTGTGTGTGTGTGTGTGGGTTTTCTCAGTTGATTGCGTCCAATTTTATGTTTTTGTTTCTTTGGAGTTGTTTTACTATGTTTAGTAATTTATTTTAATTTGATGTTGCTTTGGATTTCCGTCACAGTTTTGTTGGGGCTATGTATTACCTAATTGAGTAGCTTTGATTGCACTTCTGCTGGGATCTGTTTATGGGTGTAAATGATGTTAACTAGAATGATAAGCTTCTTCGCCAATGGATTTGTGGGATTTTATTGTATTTTCTCTCCGCTGATATCATTAGATTGGTGTAATTTTCAGAGGTGAATCTGAATTCTGCCAATGAGTTGGAGAAATTAATCAAGATTCTTTCTTATGTATTTGGTTAAGCTCAATATCGATAATCTGTTTTCTTGTTTTCCATATTTGTTGATGGTAGCTATCTGAACTTACTTTAATCTTGAAACATTCATTTCACCTTCAATTATTCTCTTAGGTATACGCGGTGATTTGCAGAGTGTGTGAATTTTGATCTGGCTGAGTTCCTTACTCACTTGATTTCATTTTAATGGCGAGAACTAGTGTGTAAAATTAAACAAGACGGACCACTGTGAATTAGTAACGACTTTAGTTTGGATCACCAGGTGTTGCATGTTTCTAGATGCCCATTCACCCGAAGATAGAAACGGCGTCGAGAATGAGGGTTAAAAACAAATATCGGAAACCAACTGCTCTAATTTGTCATGCAGGGAGCAAATGCTCGATTTCTGTCGTGATCTGGAGCCTCGTTGGGTTCCTTGTTATGCTTCATTTATACACCTTAATCCCACACATAAATACACACACCAAAGAGATTGATATCAACACGAGCCATGACCCTATAATACGTGAGCTGGAGGAGATCGAGGAGGAAAGAATACACATGCCTCCCCCAAGAAAACGATCTCCGCGTGCCGTGAAGAGAAAACCCAAGCGGCCAACTACCTTGATCGATGAATTTCTTGACGAGTCTTCTCCAATGAGGCACGTGTTCTTTCCCAGTATGAAAACTGCAGTAGATCCCAGGAAGGATGCTGACAATGGTAGTTACTACTATTTTCCAGGGAGGATATGGTTAGACACCGAGGGGAATCCCATTCAGGCGCATGGTGGTGGTATACTGTATGATCACAGGTCGAGCACTTATTACTGGTATGGGGAATATAAGGATGGGCCCACTTATCATGCTCACAAGAAAGGAGCAGCACGGGTAAATTCTGATTTCTTCATGACAAGTATTTTAGTAATCTCATTCTTCACGAAGCATTTTAAAGTTTTTGGTTTGCAAATGGACATGGGAATGATTATTATGCCATCAATTTTTGTTCTGAAATGTCTGTTGTACATTTTGTATTTGGCTTGATACTGTATGCCCATGGTTAAATTGTTGTTGCCATCTGTCTATTTATTATTTAATCGACTTTTTAGCTTGTGCACTCGTACCTGCTTGAAATTGTTGAAGAACAAACAAGTAGTGTAGTAGTGGTCTGTGAAACTTAAATCACTTCGTTGTTAAACATAACAGACTCCCTTCTTTTCACAATATTGCAAGTCAAAATTTCACCAAAATCAAATTCCATAGTGGAAGTACTTTTTCTTAGTACCTCTTTAGTAAGCTCAGAGCAAAATGAGTTTGGAGGACCCAATATTTATGAATTTCTTTTGTTGCTATTGGTTGGCCCTTCAATGCTAGGAGTGTTTGTTGTGTTTGGACTTCCAAAATCATATGTTCAGAAAATGGTTGACCTATAAGATAGGTTCCCAATTTGACGTACAGGAAAAAAAAAAAAAAAAGATGCGTTGGTCTTTGGTGCTACCGAAGATCTTTTGGCTGGCCAAAAGAATTTAGATGCCTAGTCAGACTATATTTAGGTTAAAAAAGACAGATATCTTCCCCTTCCCATATGTTTTTCTTTTTCCAGATAACCCATTGGACTGTCCATAACCTTATGGTACTTGTCAGGTAACAGAATTTTTTGGAGTCCACTTCTTTAATACCAGTATATTCTTGAATAAAATGCAGATTTTTGGGGATGAAAAGTGATACATGAAGTTGGTGATCTTGTTGCAGTTTATTTTCGGAGCTAGAATTAGATGTACGCTATGTCGATTGCCCATTACCTGTGTTTAAAGATAGTAATGACAAAAATGTAATTCCACCCAAAACTATGATTTCTTTTTCTCATCGCAACGTAAACAGCTCCTTCAATACAACCAAATGTTATTACTTGAAGGCCAATGCATTTGTCAACAATTTTCTTGATAATTTGGGCAAATCTGAAACTACAACTTAGATATGAAAATTGCATGAATAGGAAGGAAAGGTTCGGTACTGACTACAGACTAACACCAAAAGGGTATTTGCAAAATACATTCTTTTTCTATTAGTAACAAATGCCCTGAACCCTGAACCTGTTGGTTCATGATTTGTGGATATGGGATCCATCAAACCTTCAGTCCAGTGAAATGTAAAATAAAATTTTCACTTCAAAAAACAATATTTACAATGAGCGCAGCAAAAACATTTTCTTTTTTCATTCTTCTTCTTCTTTTTTTTTTTTTTTTTTTTTT